CGAAAATCTGAAAGCTGATTTCGAAAATCTGACTATTTCAAACGAAAGAGCATACTTTTTTCTATATAATGGCATATATTTCGAAAATCTGACTATTTCAAACGAAAGAGCATACTTTTTTCTATATAATGGCATATTCTTCAGTGATCTTTTCTAAATAGTTAAAATTTTATGAAGAATATAGACAAAATTTGAGTATCGTTCGATAGCGAATTTTCATGGTTATTTCAATTATAAATTGAAAAAAAGTGATAATTATAAATTGAAAAAAAGTGATATTTCTAGGCTGATTTTCGAAAATCTGACTATTCCAAACTTCGAAAATCTGACTATTTCAAACGAAAGAGCATACTTTTTTCTATATAATTGCATATTCTTTAGAGATCTTTTCTAAATACTTAAAATTTTATGAAGAATATAGACAAAATTTGAGTATCGTTCGATAGCGAATTTTCATGGTTTTTTCAATTTTAATTTGGAAAAAAGTGATATTTCTAAGCTGATTTTCGAAAATCTGACAATTCTAAACGAAAGAGCATACTTTTTTCTATATAATGGCATATTCTTTAGTGATCTTTTCTAAATAGTTAAAATTTTATGAAGAATATAGACAAAATTTGAGTATCGTTCGATAGCGAATTTTCATGGTTTTTTCAATTTTAATTTGGAAAAAAGTGATATTTCTAAGCTGATTTTCGAAAATCTGACTATTCCAAACGAAAGAGCATACTTTTTTCTAAATAATGGCATATTCTTGAGAGATCTTTTCTAAATAGTTAAAATTTTATGAAGAATATAGACAAAATTTGAGTATCGTTCGATAGCAAATATTTACGGTTATTTGAATTATAAATTGAAAAAAAGTGATATTTCTAAGCCGATTTTCGAATATCTCTCCATTCCAAACGAAAGAGCATACTTTTTTCTATATAATGGCATATTCTTTAGAGATCTTTTCTAAATAGTTAAAATTTTATGAAGAATATAGACAAAATTTGAGTATCGTTCGATAGCGAATTTTCATGGTTATTTCAATTTATGGTTTTTATATAGCGAATTTTCATGGTTTTTATAATTTTAATTTGGAAAAAAGTGATATTTCTAAGCTGATTTTCTTTTCATGGTTTTTATAATTTTAATTTGGAAAAAAGTGATATTTCTAAGCTGATTTTCATGGTTTTTTTAATTTTAATTTGGAAAAAAGTGATATTTCTAAGCTGATTTTCGAAAATCTGACTATTCCAAACGAAAGAGCATACTTTTTTCTATATAATGGCATATTCTTTAGAGATCTTTTCTAAATAGTTAAAATTTTATGAAGAATATAGACAAAATTTGAGTATCGTTCGATAGCGAATTTTCATGGTTATTTCAATTATAAATTGAAAAAAAGTGATATTTCTAAGCTGATTTTCGAAAGTCTGACTATTCCAAACGAAAGAGCATACTTTTTTCTATATAATGGCATATTCTTTAGAGATCTTTTCTAAATACTTAAAATTTTATGAAGAATATAGACAAAATTTGAGTATCGTTCGATAGCGAATTTTCATGGTTATTTCAATTATAAATTGAAAAAAAGTGATATTTCTAAGCTGATTTTCGAAAATCTGACTATTCCAAACGAAAGAGCATACTTATTTCTATATAATGGCATATTCTTTAGAGATTTTTTCTAAATAGTTAAAATTTTATGAGGAATATAGACAAAATTTTAGTATCGTTCGTTAGCGAATTTTCACGGTTTTTTCAATACTAAATTGAAAAAAAGTGATACTTCTAAGCCGAATTTCGAACATCGGTCTATTCCAAACGAAAGAGCATACTTTTTTCAATATAATGGCATATTCTTTAGAGATCTTTTTTAAATACTTAAAATTTTATGAAGAATATAGACAAAATTTGAGTATCGTTCGATAGCGAATTTTCATGGTTATTTCAATTATAAATTGAAAAAAAGTGATATTTCTAAGCTGATTTTCGAAAATCTGACTATTCCAAACGAAAGAGCATACTTTTTTCTATATAATGGCATATTCTTTAGAGATTTTTTCTAAATAGTTAAAATTTTATGAGGAATATAGACAAAATTTTAGTATCGTTCGTTAGCGAATTTTCACGGTTTTTTCAATACTAAATTGAAAAAAAGTGATACTTCTAAGCCGAATTTCGAACATCGGTCAATTCCAAACGAAAGAGCATACTTTTTTCTAAATAATGGCATATTCTTGAGAGATCTTTTCTAAATAGTTAAAATTTTTTGAAGAATATAGACAAAATTTGAGTATCGTACAATAGCGAATTTTCATGGTTTTTTCAATTTTAATTTGGAAAAAAGTGATATTTCTAAGCTGATTTTCGAAAATCTGACTATTCCAAACGAAAGAGCATACTTTTTTCTATATAATGGCATATTCTTTAGAGATTTTTTCTAAATAGTTAAAATTTTATGAGGAATATAGACAAAATTTTAGTATCGTTCGTTAGCGAATTTTCACGGTTTTTTCAATACTAAATTGAAAAAAAGTGATACTTCTAAGCCGAATTTCGAACATCGGTCTATTCCAAACGAAAGAGCATACTTTTTTCTATATAATGGCATATTCTTTAGAGATTTTTTCTAAATAGTTAAAATTTTATGAGGAATATAGACAAAATTTTAGTATCGTTCGTTAGCGAATTTTCACGGTTTTTTCAATACTAAATTGAAAAAAAGTGATACTTCTAAGCCGAATTTCGAACATCGGTCAATTCCAAACGAAAGAGCATACTTTTTTCTAAATAATGGCATATTCTTGAGAGATCTTTTCTAAATAGTTAAAATTTTTTGAAGAATATAGACAAAATTTGAGTATCGTTCGATAGCGAATTTTCATGGTTATTTCAATTATAAATTGAAAAAAAGTGATATTTCTAAGCTGATTTTCGAAAATCTGACTATTCCAAACGAAAGAGCATACTTTTTTCT